TGGATTAAGAGATCAGCTAATTCCCTAGCTGACGGTTTAGCAAAACAAGGGGCAGAAAGGGATTCCTTGTTTTGGGCTAAGTTGTAATGTTAGTGTCCTTRTATCTTTGTAWTTTCTTMYYTCHTTTCTTGAAGTTCTTTGTGACTCTTGGAAGATAAGTGTGTTTGTCTTCCACTTGTAAATTCTCTACTGATGAATTAATGAAAGTGTTATTGATCAAAAAAAAAAAAATGTCCCAACTTAGAACTGGAGTCAAATATCTAGGGGTTCCTCTTCTGTGGAAAAGGAGTAAGTCAGCATCACTAGATTTCATTCTAGAGCAACTGAAAGGTAAACTAGATACTTGGAAAGCAAAATCTCTATCTTATGCTAGTAAACAAGTCCTTATTCAATCTGTGATGCATTCTGCGCCTGTGCATTGTTATGGGCACTTTCAAATTCCTAAAAAGGATCTTAACTAAAATGGAGAAAGTAAAGAGAAAATTTTTGTGGAATGAGACTAATGGGAAAAGGCGCCTTAAGTGGGCTAAATGGAGCAATCTCTATGCCCCAAAAGCTGAAGGAGGACTAGGGTTTAAAAAAATGGATCTGCTGAGCAAAGCTCTCTTAAGTAAGCTAGCTTGGAGATTCATAACAGAGTAATTCTCTTTGGGTTCAGATTTTAAAAGGAAAGTATTTGGAAAATGCCCAGCTTTGTTTTCCAAGGAAAATCCCTCAAAATGCTTCCCCCTATGGAAGGCAGTGTCCGAGGAACTTCAGAGTTTATACCCCTCTGTAGGAGTCCAAGTTTTGAAGACCTCTAGTGTAAACATTTGGGAGATGCCTTGGATTAAGGTGGAGAATAGATTTCAGTGTCTGATGGATCCTCCTGATAGGGTTTCATTGAACTTTCAGGTTAAGGGTCTTATGAATCATGTCTCTGGGGACTGGAATACTGAAACTCTGAGAAATATATTCAGTGAGGAAGAAGTTAGACAAATTCAAGAAATGCATTTTTTCCAGAGGATCTGGGATCAAACTGTTTGGATTGGGAACAATATGGGCAGGTTCACAGTTAAGGATTTCTATAGCTACGTTTGGGCTCAGGAAAACAGTCTCCTAGAGAATGGGCTGATCTCCATTTCTAAAAGGGTGTGGAAATTGAAAACTCGCTCCAAATATAGTGTTTCTGTGGAGTCTAGTCTGAGGCTTTGTGATCACCAAGAGTGTACTATCTGAGTGGGGTCTAACCTCTGAGGAGGTCTGCATATTTTGTGGTAATTACCGGGAAACTCTTAATGACCATTTCCTTAATTGTCCTTTTGTGAGGGCTGTCCTCTTTGGAAGTGTTAGTGGGCATTTACTGTTAATCCAGATTTATTCCAAGATATCCCCTCAGTTTTAGACCACATTATGAGGATGAACATCTCAAAACAGGACCAAAATAATCTGCTATGTTGGCTAGCTATTTCTTGGTATTTTGTTTGGCAGGCTCGAAATGAAAAATATTTTTCTACTCATGACAAATCTTGTCTATGGATTACAAATGCAGTTGATATAATTCTCTGCTCCCTAACTCGGAACCACCCCATCAAGCAGTGGCTCCTGATACCAGAAATCGGGAGACTTTGCTAACTTTGGAACAAAATGGTGTGCTAATTATTTGTGATGTGGTATTGATACCATTTCTCATGACTTAAAACTTTTAATGGCTGCAGGAGGGACAGTAACCCTAACTGGGGACCCCTTTGAAGCTGAGCGCCTGGCTGTTTAGAGAGCTCTTCTTTTGCTCAAGCCCAGGACTGGAAGATAGTGACCATGTTTCAGACTCTCATCTTCTGATGCAGTCATAATGGGGATGAAACGTGAGTTAGCTGGCAGTTCTCTTTTTGGTTAGATAAAATTAAAGAACTTTCTCAATCTTTTTTGAATGTATGTTTTGTGTATAGACCTAGGTCGAAAACTACTTGTGCCCATGTAATGGCATGTAAAGCTAAAACTTTTTGAGCTTGCTTGTAAAGTTTTGTGTAGACCTATTTCAATTTAATCAAGTCTATGTTCAATTATCGAAAAAAAAGGGATCAAATCACTCTTTTATGTGGGAAAAGTATATTGGACTGGGTTCTTATACCTTGGTGCTGGTTTTTCTCTTCTTGATTTGGATTCAAGTAGCTAGTTTTTATGTTATTACGTCTTTCTGGATGTATTTCCCTTCTTGAATTGTATGTAGAGATGAATCTGTGGTGATTCCTCATCACCCTTTCTGATGACTCTTTTCTTTTATTAATAAAATTCTCTTTTATTTATTATAAAGAATGTTTTCTTTTGGACTGAAACTTGCTAATGGAAATTCTATAGTTTTGGTGAATAGTAACCTGTTCCCTATTATTTCTCTATTAATATATCTTCTAAGATCTTCTAAGCTATCATGGTGAAAATGAATCAAAAGAGATTTTTGAAGTGGTGCAAGTATTCTTTACATGTTTCTTTTCTAAGTGAACCTCTGCTCTTGCTTTTTCATTCTTTTCTCCCTTCTTTCTATGTTCTTTCTCTTTTCTTCTAATTCTCTATTACAGGTTTAATTAAGATCTTCTGGTTAATATCTCTTTAGCTACCAAAAAGGCTTCAAATCACTCCTTGGCCCCCTTCAAACAACCTAAGTAAGTTTCTCCCTTTGCCTTTTCAATTTCCTTAGTTTCAACTTTCTTGGTCCTTTTCTCTTTGGATTTTTGTCTTTTTTTGTAAGGTCAATTCATATCCCTCTCAAATCTTGTCTTTCCTCATTATTCTACATTAAATTAACCCTACCAAGTATCAGCCCAAATTTCCAACTAAAACCCTAATTTTTAGAATTTAGTTTCTTCCGCAAAGGGACTTTCTGTCCTTTTGTGCCAAACTACTCAGAATCTTTTCAAATTAAATCACCCCATATATTTCTATGTTCTAAATCTGCACATGAATTTCTATTGAAAAATTGCATTCCTGTACTTTTTGGGTTTAAGAAAATTTTGTCAGTCTAGGGAGAAACAGACAGCTGTTGAATCTGATTGAAAACTTTTATTGGTCAAATTACTCATCATAGATAGTTCTAATAAATTCTCCCAAGTGGCAATTAACCTCCTAGAGTCATCCCTTTAATTGTTCAGCCCACCTAGTTCCTGCATAACTATCCATCCTACTTTAGTTCCGGTTGCTGATCAAGAAAGAGGGGTAAAGAGAAGAGTCGAAAATGAATAGGGTGGTAATGTTTGAGAGGTGCCTTTGGTGTGCTGTGTAACTGACATATACCAAATTGCCAATGAGACAAAAAGGAAAAGTTTGTAAGATATATGACTTTGTTATATTGGACAGAGTGTTGGGCAATCAAGAAACAAATCACTTAAAAAATAAGTATTTCTGAGACAAAGATGTTGAGATATTTGAGTGGAAAAGAGGGCTTACAAGTAGGGCCCCAAATAGTTGAGATTAAGGTTCAATTGAGTTGAATATGAAACATGTTAGACATTTTAGACATTAGGGAATAGATTTAGGAATTCTAAAGTTTTATGTCATACAAACACTGAAAAAAATAAAGGAAATACAAGGAAATGTGCCAACTTTTCAAACCACGAGCTAGTCTCAGAAACTTGCGTATGTGTGAAATGGTGCATTCATCACTGTTATATCTGTTTTGTTTTTCTAGTGCTTATTCAACACAAGTGTTAAAAAAATGATGTATTCTTTCAATGGGCAAAGAGATCTTCCATTGTCTACGGGGATTCTTTTTGTTGTTTAAGATGATGTTATGTGCAGACTCCTGCCTCTTTTAGATATCTGCTCTTCTGTGGAGATCACTAGCAGTTTGAGAGGTATTTTGGCATGTTCTCTGCTTTGACCTAATAAATTCCAGAATGCCCTCTAAAAGGAAGAATTAAGAATTTAATAACTTCAAGAGTATCTTTATAACGAATGTCTCATTAGTTGTTTTTTTTTTTTTTTTTGTGTCTGCAAGTACCTTCACAAGTGTTATCTGAACTTTTTGCAAGTTGTGATGTGCATCATCTCAAGTTGTAGGAAGGGATTGGTTGGCATACATAATTTTTTAAAGTTTATTTTTGTTTCTTAACAGGATTTTATGGAAGGACAAGATTCATGTGGTCAGTCCCATATGGTCGGGGCAAACCTTAGATGAAAATGATACTGTACAGGAGAAATTTGAATGATTGGGAAGCTGAAGTCATAGCAGAAATGCTCATCAAAATCCACAAGGAGAAACCTTGCAAAAATCAAGATGAAAGCAAATTTTGTGCGGGACAACAAATTGGGATCTTTTACTCCTGGATCCTTCTTCAAGCAGCTTGATAACGCTGAGGTTAGCACTTTTCCTAGCTCCAAGATATTGATGACCTTCCCTGGAAGGATGTGTATTCTTTGGTCCTTGGTAGGGACATCAGTGTTTGAGAAGGGCCTAACAAAGGATAACTTAAGCAGGAGAGTGATGACATTGACACTGTAGTCTGTTTTGTGTTCAATAGCAACAGGAACAGCATATCACCCTTTTATCCACTGCAATGTGTCAAATCAAGTATGAGTGTAATTTCATGGAATCTTTGGAGTTAAAGGTTGCTCCCAATCTACAATTGAACCTCTTCTCCAACGCTGTGGTATCTGAAAGGTTTGAGCAAAAGAGGAAAGATCATATTGGAAAATAAACCATCCTTGATTTTATGAATCATTTTGGGGGATAGATGCTCATATATGTATGCACAACTAAGTGAAGGCAATGGGTATTCTTTTGTTCTTTTGGCTGTCGGTTCACCAATCCTTTGAAGAATACCATGCAACTCATTTTTCATTCATGAAATTTTATTCTTCACATGTACTTCTTGATTTTGTACGTTTCCACTGAACAGCACCTTGGTGTACATGAGTGCTGACTTTTTGCAATAATTTTGTCATATGGAAATGAAACTCTAGGAGCAGCCTTGTCATTTATCTTACTTTTGGTACCTCATCCCTAGTTTTGCAAACATAATAGCTCTATTGTCACCATTTTTGAAATAGAGTGTTCCTTTCACATGGAAAATTATACAGTAAGCTTTTCAGAGAGTGAAGCAGGTCTTGGTGCAGACAACGACTATGTTCTTTCCAATTCATAGCAAACCACTGAAACTCTAGGTGGGATCTGCTACAAACGAGACATGTACAATGGGCTACGTCAGTCACACAATCAAAGATGCTGAGAAATGATAGACCAGAATCAAGCAGTAAATGCCTTGCCCTCATTCATGTTGTTCAATGACTTGATTACGTTTCATCTCCTGCAGTCAAGCTAACTGCTAGGTCTAGTCCCATTCAATATCGACTAATTCGATCTGTGATGATTGGGTGTTGCAGGTGTGAGTTGCCCAAATGCATAACAGGACAAGCTCTAGAGAACATCATGATAAAGTTTTCTAGTACATAGTCATATTAGCCGCACTTGGAAATTAAGGATGTGATTCTAGAAGCCTTGGCAATGGAATTTGTTAGGTTCTAATTTTTTGGCTCATTGAAGAATCTGAAATGGTTACATTTGTCTCAACTCTTAAGCAATCTTGGTGTAAGCTAGGATTGGTGATTTCCCTAACAATGGTTTAAAATAATAAATGATGATTTGCATCCAGGTAGATAGTGTAACCTTTCCAAGGGTGTTTAATGTTTGGTGCCGTGGAAATTTTATTTTTCAATAGGTTCTAGGATAGACTGCAATGGTTTGGCATTCTATTGTTGGTTCTGAAACCAACAATATTGCTATGATCCTTATTTGATTAAATCTCACCCAAATATGGGAACATCTATGATGATATTAAAGAGTTTTGACCAATCAAAACCCACGTGACATTATGGCAGTTTGAGAAGCAAATCTAGGAGTAGGGGTGTCAATTGGACTGGATTTGGTTCAATCCGATCCAGTCCAATGTGAGTCAATTATAAATGGATCAGGTTGAATCCAATCCAATGAATGTTTTGGACCAATTTGGATCGATTCAATTCAATGTCTGGACCGTCCAATATGTTGAAATTCATTTTGATTTAGATTGGTTTTAACCTAAACCCGGTCCATTGACACATATATTCTTAGACCAGATATTGGTTTAATCCAACCCAATTCAATATAAATTTGTTACGGACGGACCAGATTCTAATAAAAATTTTGGATCAGATTGGTCAAATCTAATGTCCTGTTGGTCCATCCAAATTGATTTTGAATTGGACGGGGTCCAATCCAAAACCAGTCCATTGACACCCTTATCTAGGAGTAGTACTTTGATGTTCTCTTCTAGAAGACTGAAAATATTAATGTACTCTTTGATGACTTTCCCATAGGTAACACCAATGGTAGGCTGGTTGAGTGGCAGGGAAAGAGAATACATATATGGACTAGATTTTTGACATGGTAATATGAAAGTAAAGCATGGAAAGTATGAGCATTATATAGTGAAATGTTTCACGCCATTATTAAAATGGCGGACAGCAATAAAAATACTTTCCGAATAATCCATAAAAAGCCAGTGTTCAAACTTCAAAGGGAATTTTGTATACACACTTGCATTCAAAGACACCGTAGCCGTGTCATTGTATAAAGAGAATCAGGGTGAAATAGTCCAATGACTTACTTTCTCAAGGTTCAAGCTGAGTGGGTTACACTTGCTTGAAGGACATCGCCACCTAGAACCTGCCCTGATCAAATTTATTACTATGTGTTCACACAATACTGTATACTGTAGTGACGACATGCATGGTGTGGTGAGTGCCTGAACAGCCTCACTGTGATCACCTGAAAGGTGTCAAACACTAATCCATTTATTCCCACTATAAATTAATACCCAACCATTCCTCTCGCCGCTTCACCTCAATTCTTCTCTTTCCCGTCTCAACAACTTGTGCGCAATGGCCAAGTCTTCTCTGTTTTCTATTTGTCTTTGCCTTCTTGTATTGTGTCATGTTTGTTTAGCTCAGACATGGCTGCGACAATGGCAAGGCCAGTCCCCAACACAACGCCGGTCCAGGGGCAGAGAACAAAACAGGTGCCGGTTTGAGAACTTGGACGCCCTCGAACCTACACGCCGGAGAGAGGCCGAGGCTGGTTTCGTTGAGGAATGGGACGAAAACAACAACCAATTTCAGTGTGCGGGTGTTGCTGCTTCTCGTGTTACTATCCAACCCAGGGGCCTCTCTTTGCCCTCGTATTACAATGCACACAGGTTCATATATATTGTTGAAGGCAAGCTATCTCCATCTCTTCTTGCTGATCTAAAACCATATGCATCTTAATTCGTTACTATATATTCCAGTTTCGAATCCATACATGCATGTGCTGTGACTAATGAGCCTCTGATCCATGCACAGGGAAGGGAGTTTTAGGGTTATCCATTCCTGGTTGCCCCGAAACATTTCAATCCTCCCAGCAATCTCAACAATCCGAAGAAGAGGAAGAAAACAGGAGCCGGAGATTCCAGGATCAGCATCAGAAGATCAGATTCGTGAAACAAGGAGACATGATTGCTGTGCCAGACGGGGTTACACATTGGATGTACAACAATGGCGGTGCATCCCTTGTTGCTGTTAGCATCTTTGACCTTGCCAACAGCTTCAACCAGCTTGATGATAGAAAAAGAGTAAAAATTCTAACTCATTCATTCAACCTTATAATAATAAAATTGGTTGCTTATTCATCCAAAAAATAAAAAATAAAAAAGCAGAATCATATCATTTGCTTACAATTGACCATTTGATGTGTATGTTTAGCAATTTTATCTTGCTGGCAACTCACAACAACAACAAGAAGAAGAGGAGCAGCAACAACAGCAACAACAAGGTGGTGAATCCTTCTCCAGGCGTGAGAAGGCTGGGCAGAAGAGCTCTTCACAAGAACAAAGACAACAACAAAAAGGAGGCAAGTCGTCTTACCAACATGATCAGAAGGCCAGACAAGAGAACTCTGCTAACATCTTCAGCGGTTTGGACACTGAGACGTTGGCCCAAGCTTTCGGTGTAAGCACGGAGACGGCAAGAAAGCTACAAGGTGAAAATGATCAGAGGGGAGGAATTGTTAATGTTGAGAAAGAGCTTCGGATGATTATGCCAACTACTTCTAGCGAAGAGGACGAAGAATATGAACAGGAACAACAAATGGGTGCAAATGGTGTAGAGGAGGCGATTTGCAACATGAGATTTAGACAGAACATTGAAAAACCGAAGCATTCTGATTTCTACAGTCCATATGGAGGACGCGTCACCACCCTCAATAGTCAAAACCTCCCAATTCTCCAGACCCTCCAACTCAGTGCTGAGAGAGGAACTCTCTACCAGGTTACGATTAACAAGCTTCTCTCTCTCTCTCTCTCTCTCTCATTACTGGTCACTCTCTCGTATGTGGGTATGTGTGTTTCTCTTCTTCTTTGTTGCATGAATTAATTGTTGAATTGTGGCCTCGATAATTTGCACAGAATGCTATGTTGTCCCCTCACTGGAACATCAATGCACACGGCATCATCTATGTTCTTAGTGGAGATGCTCGGGTTCAAGTTGTTGATAACTCTGGACAAACAGTCTACAATGGCCAGCTTCGTCGTGATCAAATCTTGATCCTTCCACAAAACTTTGTCATAGCTATACAAGCTGGAGAGAATGGTTTCGAATGGGTATCATTCAAGACCAATGACAATGCAATGGTAAGCACTCTTGCTGGGAGAAATTCAGTCATTCGTGCCATGCCTGAAGAGGTGCTCACCAACTCATACCAGATTTCCAGAGAGGAAGCCAGGAGGTTGAAGTTCAATAGACAGGAAACACGGGTCTTGTCTTCAAGGTCTAGTTCTGCAAATTTGATGTGAAACAAGAGTCCATCTAAAGTCAGATAGGTTAGCCTGTGCGTGAGCTTTGTGTTAAGATCCATAATAAATAAAGTACAAACTCCCCAACTTCGAACATGGGATTCAGTCAATGCAACTCAATCAACACAAAAAAGCCATCCAAATCGGCCGGACTCGAAAAATGAATCATCTCATCAAATAATTAATATAATATATACGTCCGTGCATATAAGCTTAATTCCCTCATTGCCACCCCCTGCCCAATCACAACGAGGTGCATCGTGTGAGCAAGCGGAGAAAGCAAAGAGTGTTCAACTACCTGCACTTCATTTTGTGCCGGATTGCCCTCTCAAATAGCACAAGTTAAGATTTTAAGGATTTATTATATTTTTACTGTTAATAAGGAAATAATTAAGTCCTTGAAATAAGGAATGTCAACTGCAGCATAAATACTATACTTTTGTTTCTGGTTGTCCGTTCTTAATCCTTTGTTGTTCTTGCTTAGGCTTCTAGTTGTATGCTCTTATTGTTGGCATTGCTACACTGAGCTTTGTTCAATGAAGTCTAATTAGTCTTTGGGCTTAATAAAACCATTTTTAAGTGTTCAATTGAATTTTCTTTTGGATTATTTTGTCCTTATCTTCTCATATAAAATTAGAGGTTAATCGAGCTAAGTCGAGTCGAGTTTTAATTCGATTGAGTTTTGAGTTTCATATTCGATTTCGAGTCGATCAGTTATAAATAAATTTCGGTTAAAAATTATATATAAATTAATATTTAAAATATTATAAATAAAAAATATATGAGAAAACATGATTATATATTAAAATTATAAATAAATCAATATTGTGAAATATTATTAATAAGAATATAATACGAAATTTGATTGCACATTTTTTTTCGTTTTTATGTTATAAATAAATTAATTTTTATTTATATTATAAATAATATATTGAAAATTGATATTTTATTAGAAACTTGATTAAGCTCACGGGCTACTCGAGTTGGGTATTTTGAAGCTTGAACTTAGCTTGACTAACTACTCAACGAGCCGAGCGTGAGTTTGTTATAGTTAGACTTGTTCATGGGCCGGGCCGAGCTGGGTTCGGGCCGGGCTTAGCCCAATCTGTATTAATAGATTTTTTTAAGGCCCGATCTCGAGTCCAGCCCGACCATCGGGCCTATAACTTGGGCCTGAGCCTGGCCAAGCCTGGGCCTAAGTCCGAAATTTAGCCTATACTGTTACTACTTTTGAAGCGGTTGAAGAGAGAGAAATTATAAAGAAAAGAATAAAAAATATATATTAAATTATAAATATATATTTTAACAAATAATTATATTATTTATATATATTATATAATATATAAAATACATATTATATATTTTATAAAATATATAATGCTGAGTCGGGCTGGGCCGGGCTCGGGTCGTGCTTTTTTGACAAACCCCGAACCCGGCTCGAAACACAGTCGGGCTTATTGTGTTAGGCCCAAGGTTAGGCTCGCGGGCCTAATTACATGACCAAGCCCGACCAGGGTGCGAGTTGGGCCATCGGGCTACCCGGCCCATGGACAGGTCTAGTTATGGTTAATGTGTTAGAAAGATAAATATTTTACTTTTTATTTTGTCTTTTTCTACTACTTCAGTTGGGTCTCTTTATACTTTTTGATTCTATGTATCTCATATATATTTTATGAATGATGTATATAGTTAATTATAAATATCTATTTTTTGCATTTTATATGATAAATATATTAACAAATGCATCAATGAATTAATATTAATCAATAAATATTAATTTTTTATAAAAACAATAGTAAAATAATTAAAAATTTTAAAAAGATATTTTAAATATTTACAAATATTATTTTATTGATAAAAACATTAAAAATTTAAAAAAATTAAGTAAAATAATTAATATTTTATTAACAAAAATATTAAAATGTGAAACTGACAATAAGATTTCAGCCTTTTTAGGGAGAGTGTGAAGCACGGGACTGGTCCCGTCCACAGCCAGCCAAACAGGTGTTCATCCCACCCATGAGATGAACATGGTGTTGAACACTGCCTTAATGGCCCATTCTTCTTTTGGATTTTGAAAGGGGAAAAGTTGGTTAATAGAGTACGTATGTTCTTTTCTTATATCTATATGGGGTTTATGAAAATTTATTTACCCAAGTATCACTTACCCCATCTCCCAAGTGAGCAACTTTCTCACTTTAGGAAAATTGTCAACACATGGATGGGACAAAATTGTCCTTTTAATAATGACTTTTTATGGCTAAAATGGTTATTTTATTATTTACTTAAAAAATAAAAGTAGCCATATAAATGCATCTACCTAGATAAATAACTTTCCAAAAAGAAAATAACATTGTTTATCCGATTTTTTGCCATGAGTGATATAAACCTATTTGATCCGATTTTTTTTTTCTTTTTGTAAAAAGCCCATAGGCTAAATCATTCATTGCACTGAATCAGCTTTTAGTACAGGCAAAAGAAAATCTGGAGAGATGGAGCAAGTTTGGGTTCTACAAAGTACAACCAAATTTTGGCAAAGTGTGAGCAGCATTATTGCCTGTACGAGGGATGAAGGATATATGAGCTTGATGAAATTCTTGCGAAAGACTCCTACAATTGGCTATGACTATATGAAGCCACCATGGGACCTTAGGCTGAGGATCTAACAGGATGTTAGTAATCTTCTGCGCATCCCCTTGAAGAACAATGTGTGAGAGAGATAAATCTTGAGCCAATTGTAAACCCTCCCTAAAAGCCAATGCTTCAACCATCTCAAAATTAGATTTTTGAGCACAAGCAGACCTTTCACAAACCAACTGACCCAAATGGGTTCGAACAACAATACCAATTTCAGAACATACTACCTCATCAACATTGACTTTGATAAAAGGTTCTTGGGGCGGTGACCAAGGAATCACCTAAGTAAATCTTCGATCATTATGTAGTTGCATTTTACTATATTTAAGCAAGGTGAGTGAGCCGCAACTGAAACCGATGATGGGTTCAAGTTTTTATGATCCATAACCACCTTACACCTGGCCTTCCAACAATGTCGTAATAAAGTAGCACATTTAGTAAAAATACTTACGTCGTCACTTGGTGTATGAGGGATTGATGACCACCAAAGTTCTAACCATTGTAACAAGGACCTAGAAGGATAATTGTCAATGCGCACTGATACACAAGAACCGAACCAGATGGGTCACAACACAGGGAAATGGAGCAAAGTATGATCCATAGTTTCTTGATGGCTCCCACATGAAGTACAAATGGGATCAACATTCTTTGAATATCGTGCTAGGAAAGCCTTGACTAGGAGAAGATCATTGATACATTGCCAAATAAAGGTATGAATCCACGGAGATAATTCATCAAATTTCTAGAAATCTCGCCAAGAAACACTTCATATTGATGGGATGAAGAAGGTACTACACTTTGTAATGCTTGCAGTCCTAAAGCACAAGTATAGCGTCTATGTGGGGTAAAACGCCAAATCAAACGATCAAATGCAGCAGCATAAGGATCTTTAGGAAGAAGCATTGATAAAATTTCACCCACCACCATGGGATTGGATAGTGTTGTCACTAAATCATGATTCCATACTCCTATACAAAAATTGATGAGTGCGGCAACTTTAGTTGAGGGGCTAAAACCAGATTGAACATGCAATGGATCACTTACCCAAGGATCCCCAAATAATGTTGTGTCCCAACCATTAGATATTAGAATTTTGGCACCACAAGATAAGTCACTCCTAGATTCCAATGTAGCTCGCCAAGTAGAAGAGGCTGATGAACGTTTTGTGGAACCCCAAAAAGTTTCACCCATCTTCAAATATTTAGCAGATAAAATCTGTGCCCATAAACGGGATTGTTCTGCTAAAAATCTCCAAAGATAATTTCATAAGCATGGCTCTATTCTTGATGCTAGCATTCTGAAATCCCAAACCACCCATCTCTTCCTTTGTAGTGATCTTATTCCACCCTCGAAGATAGATATGAGGTATGCCAGGTTTGTAACCCCACCAGAAATCATGAGATATAGAGAGAACACTTTTAGGTAGTTGATGTGTGGACATAAAATAAGTTGGGATAGATGCAAGAGTGGATTTGATTAAAATTTCCTGGCCATCATGAGATAAGCAGTTTTCCTTCCAAGAGGACATGCGATCACGACACTCTTATCAATCACAAATTGCCAAGTTTTTGCATTGCAACTATTCCGTAAGAATGGGATACCAAGATATTTTTAGAGGATTTGGAATAGTTCACTTCTTGACCCAAGAAGGCACCAAAATATTGTAAGATTTCCTTGATTTTAGATAACTCTGGTGTAGTACTCTTGCCAAATAACAAAATATCATTAGCAAAAAGTAAATGAATGAGCCAAGATCCATTTCTGCAGATTTTAACTCCACTAAGGACACCCAAATCCATATTATGTTGAAGCAATTTGGAAAACACATCCATATATAAAATGAATAAGTATGGGGAGAGAGGGCAGCCTTATCGTAGTCCCCTTTGCGGATGGAACTGGGGTCCCACTTCTCTATTGAGTAACACCACATAAGAAGCAGTGGTAAGACAAGCCCGTAATAAGGAACAAAACTGAGTAGAGAAACCCTGTAAGTGTAGGGTATGGAGTAAGAAATCCCATTCCACCCTGTCGTATTCCTTTGACAAATCTAATTTTAACATAAATTGGCCATGCGTCAATCTCAAAAGCAATGATCTGATTGTCTTGGATCTGACGCCCAGGGGAGAATGCATTCTGATAGGATAGGGAGCGATGAGTGGTTCGATGATGCTTTTGAGTCGTGTTGCAAGGATTTTTGTAACAATTTTATATGGAACATTAGTAAGTCCAATGGGAAGAAGATCAGTCACAAATTCAACAATTGTTTTTTTGGAATCAAGACAATTGGTGTATCATTGACTTCTGAAATGAGATTCAGATTATAGAATACATTTTGCACAAAAGTGACTAAGTCATGGCCTACCTCTTCCCAACAATGATAGAAAAGAGCATGAACGCCATCAGGACCAGGTGCTTTAAGAGGCCCAATGGAGAATAAGGCGTCTTTAACTTCTTGAGCAAACGGGCAATGACAGAGCCTCTGTAATTTGATGGGGAGCAATGTTGTCTTCAAAAGTATCAACAGTTAGAAAAGAGGATGAGAAAAGATCTACAAAATGGTCTCTAACCAGAGAAGCAATAATTGCGGGATCAGGGGACCATGTACTACTGTTGTCTCGTAACCAGTGAATACCATTATGTCGACGGCAATTTGAGATGGTAACCAGTGAATACCATTAATTAATTGTTGTTCAATTTCTTAGTTTGAGCACTAAAGTTTTCCAACTTAGTGCAGCCCCAAAACGAAAGAGAATTTTTACAGGTCAGAACCCATTGTTTAAAGGAACCAAGACTGGAATTCCAAAACTATTAAACTTGTGTTTTGAAACCATCCAACTTCGTCCAAACAGATTCGAACATAATATGTAACTCGAGTAGAAGGAGAAATTCTGATTCTTTCTTGTTCTTCTTGTTTTTTTTTCCTTTGCAAAGAATGAGTTATATATACACACCTATCCTAGTTACACACAAACTATCTTGTTCTGCCTTTCCTAATTACATACAAACTATTATGATAAGAGTTATCCCTGAATTAAGGGATATTCTCCTAGTTTACAGCTCACGCCAATACTCCCCCTCACGTTGGCGTGTACAAATCTTGGATGCCCAACTTGCCAAGTGAGCTGTAGAAGTTTTTATTGGATACAACTTTTGTAAGTATATCTGTCAGCTGGTTTTCAAACTTGACAAAGGGAAATCGAATGATTCTGTCTTCGATATTTTGTTTGATGAAATGCCGGTCCACCTCCACATGCTTTGTTCGATCATGTTGGATGGGATTCTGAGAGATGTCTATGGTAGCCTTGTTATCACAGAATAGGTCCATTTCAGAGGTTGGGGGGAAATCAATTTCAGTCATCAATCTTCTAAGCCAGAGTAGCTCGCAAAGCCCTTTAGCCATTCCTCGAAACTCAGCTTCAGCACTTGATAGGGCCACCACCTTTTGTTTTTACTCCTCCACGTGGCCAGATTCCCACCGACAAATGTAAAGTACCCCGAGGTGGACTTTCTATCTGAGATATTTCCGACCCAATCTGCATCTATATAGCCTTCTATCTTTAGATGATTATTTTTTGAGAACATAAGTCCTTTTCCAGGAGAGGACTTCAAGTATCGAAGAATTCGCATTTCAGTGTTGATGTGATCTTCGCTTGGGCAATGCATGAACTGACTTACTACGCTGACAGCGTAGGCGATGTCTGGACGAGTATGTGAGAGGTAAATAAGTTTACCAACCAGCTTTTGATATCTCTCCTTATTGGTAGGTACTTGGTTTGGGTATTTTCCAAGTTTATGGTTTTGAACAATTGGTGTGTCTACCGGCTTGCACTCTAACTGTCCCACTTCGGAGAGCAAATCCAAGGTGTATTTCCGTTGAGACAGAAATATACCTTCCCTTGATCTAGCAACTTCAATTCCTAGAAAATACTTGA